CCCCTCACGGTGGAAAACGGAGTCCTGGACACACGTAGCGTGGTGCCGTACAATCCGTACTTACTGGAGCTATTCGACTGCCACATCAACGTAGAAGTGTGCACCTCCCTCCGCCCTATCAAGCACTTGCACAAGTGCACGTGCAAGGGGCCGGACAGGGCTTGTCTCGAGCACGTCCGCGATGAAGTACAAGAGTTCTTCGATTGTAGATGCGTCGGGGCCCTGGAGGCCGCGTGGCGCCTCATGGGTTTTCCAATGCATGGGCGGAGCCACCAGGTCCAGAGACTTCCAGTACACATGCCTCTGGAGCAGGTCGTGCAATTCGAATCCGGACAGCAGACCTCCGCAGTGCACGCCGCTTTGACTCGGCACACGAAGCTCGAAGCGTGGTTCATCCTCAATGCAGAGGCGGCGTCCGCGCCAGAGAGCCCAGACCGATCCCTTATCTTGTCCCTGAAGTACCCGGAAATTCCATTGGATTTCCGATGGGGCAGCAAACGCGTCCGCTGGGTTCGCCGTGAACGCCAAGCGCGCAACAACGACGTCATCGGGCGCATGTCGTATCCAACGTGGCTGCCGCCTTATCCGATACTGCTTCCCCCGCGTCCACGCCCGCCTGCCCCTCCCGCTCCCTCTGCATTCTCTCTCAGACATGTGGCGATGCGCGTGGCGCAATGAGCCCTTGCGCGCAGCGCAGTCCGCGCAGTCCAGCCACCCCCCAGAGGTGCCGCGCCCTCCAGGCAACTACCACAGGTGCCCACGAGCACGTAGAGAATTCTTCCACTTAGACTTAGCAGGCTAGAGGGTTAGAGTTCAGTAGCTCGAGCCACGGTCTTCAGCTTCGCGCGAGGGTGGCGCAGATGGTGTCTTCGGGTGGGAGATCCAGGTCTCCTGATCAAAATTTCCAAGGTTTCGTGTTCGCGTTCTGGTGTCCTGACTTGTACGTCTACTAATCTGCCAGCGAATTCCAGACGGCCTGACTCCGCTGCTCAAGGTCTGGCGCGCACGACAGCGCGTAAAACACAATGCAAAACGAACAAAACCGCGTCTCAATATTTCATTTGAAAAAAAACAGTTTTCCTGCACCCACCTTGTCGGCGTAAGCCTACGTATTTCGTTGGTCCGGAGCACAGCTCTTGCTGCGTGCTCAGATCTAGGCCGTCGGGGGCCGCGGGAGGCGCCGCCACAGCGTGGGCGAAGCGAGCCGCGCGCGGGATCGGCCCGGGCCTGGAGGGGGAGTGCTCTCAGGGCACCGTAACAGATGAACCGGGGTCGTCTCGCGCGCCAACTTGCACCCGGCGCAATGCTGGTGCGCGGACGTGAAGCCGCAAGCCGGAGAATTATACTATCTACGCCTCCTGTTGTTGCACATCCGCGGAGCCGAAGCCACATCGTGGAATGCCCTCGAGCGATCACCGAGCACGGATGCAACCCCCACGTTCCAAGAGCACGCCAGGCATTTGGGCCTCCTCGCCGATGACATAGAAGTGGTCGCCGCACTTGCGGAGGCGTGCAGGGTTATGCGAAGCTTCTCTCGTCTCTGTGAGATGTTCGCCCAGTTCCCGGTCTGGATGGACATCAACGACAAAGCCGGATTTTGGACGTCGTTGTTTACATCACTTGTCGGAACACCACCAGGCCGTAGAACCGTCCACCGTCTATCGAGCTGTCGACGAAAGTCTGGCTCTCTACGGGTTCACGCTTGCAGCCTACGCGATCGCGCCGCCGTCGCCGGACGGAGCTCTCTTGCCCGCCGAACGAGCGGCGCAGGAATGCGCGCGGGAGTTGCGCAGCCCGTCAGAACTCTGCAAAGAAAAAGACGTTCGACCGACTCGCTCTCAACGACGACCAGCATCCCATCTTCGACTTCGTCCGGGCACGCGTAGACGGCCCCCGCAGCGCAGACGTCGCCAACATCATGCATTGGCAAAACCCACGTGTACAAGAAGATCTTGCATTATGTACGAATGACCGGCATAATAGCACTGGCTGTAGCGATGTCGGGCATCGCAGCACTACTCTTGCCCGGAGGACGCACCGCACACTCCCGCTTCCGCCTCCCCGTCCCCGTCCCATTGGAAGGCTGCAAAGCAAACGTCAAAGCGCCGTCGGCGGCAGCGAAACTCATAGTAGACGCGGCACTGATCGTTTGGGACGAAGCGCCCACTGCCTCGCGCGCCATGTTTGAGGCCGTAGACAGGTGCTTACAGGAACTCCTCGGCAACAGCCGGCCCTTCGGAGGGAAGACCGTGGTTTTCGGAGGCGATTTCCGCCAATTCCCCCCCGTGCTCCGATACCTCGACCGCGACGCAGTCTTCAACCACACCCCGGCTGCCATGCCGTGGTGGGATTCTGCTCACGTCAAAAAGTTTCGCCTCTGCAAGAACATGCGGGCCAATGCGGACACAGCTTTCGCCGACTTCTGCTTGAGCGTCGGCGACGGCGCCTGTGGGTCGCCGCCGTTCACCGGCGTAGACAGAGAGTGCCAAGCGTGCGTGGTCGAACTCCCAGATGCCGTCCTCGCCCCCCACTCCTGGAAGCCAGAGCATTTGCTGGAATGGGTGTGCGAGGGGGTCGACGCTGTGCAGCCTGCCCAGTGGCACCAGTACTACGCATCCCGAGCCGTAGCGACACCAACAAACCAGGCAGCAGACACCCTGAATGCGCTCATGCACGCAAAACTGCCGAGCGACACAGAAGTCGTCTCCCCGAGCCAGGACGTCGCTATCGCTGAGGTAGTCCACGGGGCCACGTACACCACGGAGCTCCTGAACAACATCCAGACCGCTGGACATCCCCCTCACGAGCTCCGACTGCGACGCGGGTCGTTGGTAATTCTGCTGCGGAACTTCGCTCCGCATCGAGGCCTCTGCAACGGCGCGCGTCTCGTCGTAGAACGAATGAGGTCGCACTTCCTGGTCGTCCGTGTCGTCGCCGGGCCCTTTGCGGGTAACGTCGAGCTGCTGCCGCGGATCTGCTGCGACCCTTGCGGGGATTGCGAACTCCCATTCGTGCTCCGACGACGCCAGTGCCCCGTGAAACCGGCGCGTGTCATCACCATTAACAAATCGCAAGGACAGTCCCTCCAAGGTCGCCTCGGCGTGTATCTACCAAAGCCAATCTTCGCGCACGGCCAGTTGCACGTAGCCATATCCCGAGGATGCAGCTTCGAGACCACAAGAGTATTAGTAGAAGAGACGCACCAGTCCGAGCAGGGGCTGTCGCCCCCTGCGGGCAACGCTCCTGCAAGAGCGTTCACATCGAACATCGTCGACGCGTCACTTCTCCGAGCAGCGCGATGCCAGGACTGCCCCGACGGCTCCACGTCTTCGCCCATGCCCGGCCCCGTAGGAAGGGGCGGAATCGCCCAGCGTCTGCAGTCCCCTGCAACCCACGTCACGCTCGCGCTGTCCGGCGAGCCGCGCGTCACAATGGACGAGGCGCGTGAGTCCCCCCTGGAACTGGTCCGACCCCATGCGGCATGCGTCACGGACCGCGTGACGCCACAGGAAACCTTCGACGAAGCAGCAGCTCATGAGTACAGCGCGTCCTCTGAGGTGCTCAAGCGCGGATGCCACGCGCCTCCCGTGCCCGGTAAACGTCGGGAAAAAAAAACAGGCCATGCCACCTCGGCCCCCGCGGCCCACCAGCCGTCCACAGTGCAAGGCACTTCCGTCGACGACCCGTCCACGTCCGCGTCGTCGCACGCGCGGAACCACCGCGGCACGTTCGGTCTGCGCCTCGAATCAGGTTCTCCCGCGGCCTCTGCTGGCGCCTTCCCAAACCCGCCCCAGATTGGCGCCACGCGTGCCGCGCCCCCCTCGCGCGAGGAAATTCCCCCCAGCGTTGCTTCGTCCCCGTCAGCCTGCGCGATTGGTTTGTCTGGAACCCAGAAATGCTCGGCAGACTGCAGCCACGAACTTGCCACGCTCACTTCATGTCAGCCATGTCAACCTCAGCCCAACACTGCAAAACAAGAGCGTCGGGATGCCGTCCTCGAAGAAACCGCGCCTTCAGTGTCGTCCCGTCCGCTAGGTAGTTATCCTCCTGCGGTCGGGGCCTTCGCAAATGACGCCATACCTCCATCCTCCGCCACGATGCGAGCGCGGTCTCCCACCTCCTCCTCCTCCTCCTCCTCTTCCTCCTCCTCCTCCTCCTTTTCCTCTTCTTCCTCCTCCTCCTTTTTCTCTTCTTCCTCCTCCTCCTCCTCTCCCTCTTCTTCCGTCAAGGAACGTCTCAGGATGAAGAGCCGTCCCCGGGGAAGGGGTCGGGGCTTCGGGGGCCGCGCATTGACGAAATCAGGACGTCGCATGTCTGCGCTATCCACGCCCCAGTTCCCGCGCGTCGGCGCCCCGAGGATCACAGCGACACGCTATCCACTCGCGTGGGCCGTAGCGTGTCGCCAGGGCCGCCCTCGCGACATGCGACAGAGACTGCTCCGCCTCTGGTTTCTGTGTTTCACGTGGTACCGCCGTGGAGCCCTGGGTTTTGGGTCCTGGGCTGAAGGCCGCGGACCGTCCCTTGGGAGAGTTCCTGCGTGGACGTCGGCTGCGGTAGGGTTTCACGAGACCCACCGCTCTGTCGCACGCTGAGGACACTGACAAGCCGAGGAACGCTGCGAGCTACGTCGCTCAGAGTCTGGCCACTGCAATACCCAGACATCTGGCGCTCCAGTCTTTCTGATGCGTGGACCCCCAGAGGTCTGGCCACCTTCCCTACGGCCAGTTTTTCAGCGCGAGTCGTTGCCTGAAGGCCCCGGCCCCCGAAGCGCCCCCAAAAAGTCTTAATGTGCCACCAGGAGAGCCCAAACCAAAACCCGAGATGCCCCACCCCCCCAAACCCCCAAGAGCCTTCAAGAGCGTCCTCCGTAGCCATTTGGCTCAAGACGCTTTGGCCCAGCCCGCCCCCGCCGGCACAAGCGGCGGCTTCTTTGCTTCAATCGGCCCGAAACCCCAACAGCGATGGCCCGCCTGGTGCTCGCGGCCGCCGCACTCCTGCAGGCCACCGCTGTCCCCACCGGGTGCGGACACATGTTCAGCTACTGGGATTCTGTCGGCCCCGTCAGCTGTGACATCGGATGCTGGCGGGAAGTTGATGAGAACTCGAGGTGCGGCGAATCGGATAATTGTTGCCTCTGGTTCATGGATAGGGTCGCGGAGATATCGAACGCCCGCGATGGGAAGGAGGCCAAGGAGGTCGTCGCGTCCGATTCCAACGACCCAGATGCAGTGAAGGACATGATCTGTGAGCAGGCGCTCGGCGAGACCTGTGCAAGGAGTGCCCCCGCTGCAAGGGCGGCGAGGAGAAGTGCGCCCTCGGCGACTGGAATCATGAAACCCAGAAAACCAGGCTGTATTCCGTGATGGACGGCCTGCCGTTGGCAGGGCAGCGGTCTCTCGCGAGCGTTGCGACGATCGGCCTGGGAGCGATCGGGGGAGCCGCGGCGCTCGCAGGTGCCGCGTTGGCCTTCAGGCGCTGTGGCGCCCCCTCCGCGCCGGTGGATATCTCCGCGAACGAGGCCGCAGGGGGGGGGCAGCGCGCCCCGATCATGGCCTCGCAGTCCTGATCAGCCCCAGGGCACTCTGCCGGGGCGCGGCCGATGACCGAGCGCCGCGAGATCCTGGGCCTCGGGCCCTGGTTTACGGTTTTAGGGCTTAGGGTTTAGGGTTTAGGGTTTAGGGTTGACAAGGCAAGGCCACAATTACAACTTTCAACGGAACCCACCTGCGGTGGCCATAATTCCCCCCCGCATCTCCACCCCCCCCATAAAGATCATATCTTCTATCGTGTCATAGCGTGGCTGTAGCATAACATAGCATAGCATAGGCTAGCTTTGCACAGAATGGCAAAGCATAGATTCCCCCAACACACCTATGGCGTACCATAGCATTGCGTATCATCGCATAGCATAGCAGAGCAAGCATAGGTTCCCCACAACGTGACGAACCTATGGTGTAACATAGCGTAGCAGCATATCGTAGCACAGCATGGCAAATCATATACTCCCCGCTAAGTAGAACCTGTGGTGTATCATAACATAGTAATAGCATAGCATAGCACAGCATGGCCAAGCATAGGTTCCCCACTAAGTGGGGAACCTATGGTGTAGCATAGCGTAGCATAGCATAGCACAGCATGGCAAAGCATAGGTTCCCCACTAAGTGGGGAACCTATGGTGTACCATAGCATAGCATAGCTATGAATAGCTCAGCATGCCAAAGCATAGGTTCCCCACTAAGTGGGGACCCTATGGTGTAACATTGCATAGCATAGCATAGCATAGCACAGCATGGCAAAGCATAGGTTCCCCACTAAGTGGGGAACCTATGGTGTAGCATAGCGTAGCATAGCATAGCAAAGCACAGCATGGCATGACTCACAGTGTCACGCATACGTGAAACACAACTGACACCGGCATATCAGCTCCGAAATTGAATCACAAGAACCACCATAGGTTCCCCACAATGTGGGGAACCTATGCTGTAGCGTAGCATGACATAGCACAGCGGAGCATAGCGGAGCATGGCGAAGCATCAGTTTGCAACAACCTGACCCATGGTGCAGCATAGCATAGCATGGAAAAGCAGGGTAGCACGGCATGGCAAATATTAGACTCATCACTAGGTGAGGAATATATGTTGTATCATAGCATAACACAGCATACCATATCCCAGCATGGCAAACCATAGGTTCCGCACTTAGTCGGGAACCCATAGTGTAGCATAGCATAGCCTAACATAGCACAGCATGGCAAAACATAGCCCCCTACTAAGTGGAAGAGCTATGATATAGCATTACACATTAGCTTAGCGTAGCACGACATAGCAAAGCATGGACAAGCTTAGGTCCCCCACTAAGTGAAACCTGCGTGCATAGCATGGCAACGCATACCATTGCATAGCATAAGACTGCCGCACTGGCCCATGTACACTTGAAAACCCGGCATGCAATTATAGAAACCCTTGGTCAATTTGGTCATCAACAATCGTGAATCACGTCCAGACACGATATTCAATTCTAGAAACCCGCATGGGAACCGCACTCGCTTTGGTTATGGCAACCCCATGTTCGATTATAGAAACCCGTCTGGTCACTTACGGCAAACCCTGTCGTCAGTTTAGGCTATTTCGGCAATCATGAATAGCCGTGTCGGCCTACAAAGACCCAGATAAAGTATGCAGACCAGTGTCAGGACACAGAAACCCCGCTCGACAATCACAGAAACCCGCGTCAGACTCACAGATCCCACTCGCAATGCCACGCACACGTGAAACACAACTGACAGGTACCTCATCCGGATGGTCCGATACACAGGATGGCGCACACACAAGGTATACGATCATATGTTTGCGTGTGTGTGTGTGGGACTGAGTGGGTGTGTGTCGAGAAGTGTGTGTGTGTGCGTGTGTGTGTGTGTGTGCGTGTGTATGTGTGTGTCCGCGAGAGCGTGAATGTAAGTGTGTATGTGTGTGGATGTGATTATGTGTGTCCATGTGTGTGCTTCAACGGGATAGACCACCATCCCAACGAAGAAAGCTGCACGACCTGGCCCATACGCGACCAGTACACGATATGATGAGCCATGCGCCAGTTCTTCTCCCTCTCAAACTCAAGGGTCCAGGCTAGAGTTCCGAGCACCGGCAGCAAGCACTCAGGCCAACAATGACACAATGTCGCATAATCGATAGCTACGCAATGGTGCATACAAAGGGAATCACATACTATCACAGACGCCCGATCATGTGGGCCCGCATGTTCGCGCCCACAGCCATGGACGAATCATCGGAATCCGATGTGGAGCTGCCACGGCCCTCCCAGAGCGAGGGATTTCGAGCCCAGCCATAGACCAAGCATCCGTCTGCCGCTGCCGGGCGGCTAACTCATGATGGAATAGACGCCGGGCCACCTCCAGGTCCCACAACCTCTGCCCCATGGTGATGTAATAGTTCTGAGAACTCTGCACGATAGCCATTAACCAGGCTTCTTCACGGCGCCCAACGAGCGCCGCAATAGAGCGGCACAGCACAGGATGATAGATGACACCGAGGAGCGTCAGCGGCATTGCTGAACTCGAGCAAGTGATAGTCTTTAAAATAACAAGAAGAGGACCCCCACGGGAAGACCACCATTGACCCAAAGAGACTACGGATAAGGCCCTGCTCTAGCGTACGGTTGCAGTTCAGCACCCGCAACAAACGCAATCATAATCCAGCGGGCGTGAATGCACAACGATACGTCCCACACAAGCCACGACCATAGCACGCCACGCAAACACGCAGATGATGCGAATGATGATGATGATGATGATGGTGATGGAGCTGGAACACATCAGGTAATAGCGTGACAGACAAACACTATAGCACAGAATGGAGGTTCGCTGAGGTTCTGCCCTGCCGTGTAGCGTGGCCCCACCATACCACTGGAGGCTCGATGAGATAACAGAAAATGGAAAGCACAGCGTGTCAACGACAGGTACTATAGGAAGCTACCGCTATAGCATGACAATGCGGATAGCAAGGCAATTACATCAGACGCCAGGTTCCACTGAATATAGAATCCCATCTTAGCAGGGCAATGACATGGCAAGGCAAGAAAAAAACGCCTTGACGAATCGCGAACCCATGACGAAGACAAAGAATTTTCGGGTTGAAAATCGCAACATGTAGATAACCTGCGGCCCTGACGCTTCCGGTCAGGGATAGACCAGCCCCGCCTAATGAAAGGAAGCTACGGCACCCGTATGAAGCACAGCATAGCCAGGAATAGAATTACATAGCATAGCGTAGCATACCAGAATGGCATAGGTTCCCCACTGGGGAAGCTATGGTGTAGCATAACGTGGCATAGCATAGCATAACACAGCAAGGCAAAGCATAAGTTATCCCGGAGTGGGGAGGTGTGTGGCATAGCATGGCATACAACAAAATAGCACATCATGAAGAATGGCGAAGCATAGGGACCCCACCAGAGGGGAACCCATGATGTAGCATAGCATGGCGTAGCCTACCAGCGCACAGCATAGTGTGGCAACGCAATGGTTCCCCACTAAGTGGGCAGCCTATGGTGTAGCACAACATAGCATAGCATGGCACAGTTTGCATAGCATAGCATACCAGCATAGCAAAGCATAGGTTCCCCACTGAGCGTGGAACCGAAACGCAACGAGCATAACACTGCATAGCGTAGCATAGCATAGCATGGCAAAGCATAGGTACCCCACTAAGTTGGTTATAGGAATATGGTAGTATAGCGTGGTCAGGACATTAAAACACGCGGGATCACGACTATTGCTATAGGAATGTCATGATATAGCAAAGAGAAGGAACGTACATACGTAAGCGTTTTTTTTTCTAAATGTGGGGAACCTCATCTTGAAGCGTGGCCGCGCGCTGGGGCGCTCAACATGGCCCAACACGGATCCTAGAGCATCTCGGAAAGCCCAAGACAACCTCCAAGATGACTCCGAAGATGTTCCAAGAGGCCCCAAGATCGCCCCAAGATAGCTCCATGATGCCTGATAGCATTTGAAGGAACTCCAAAATTTCAAATTCCACGAGCTGAAAAGAAAATGATGATTTCGCCTCTCATGTAATTATTTTTCTGATGTGTTTTTTTTTGAAGCGCATAGCATGAAACATATCGGGCGCACGCAGCGGCCGCACTCTCGCAGGCAAGTTCCAAGTCGGCGACCTCGACGACGTGGCCTTAGAAGGCGGGAACATAGCAACCGAGATGTTGCCATGGTGAAACGCGGTGAAACATAAAATATTGGGTGCGGCCCTCCCCGCCCTCGCGGGGCGGCCTTGCTCCCTGGGGCGTAGGGGGGTGAAGGGGGAGGGGGGGGGGGGGGGGGGGGGGGCACAGCAGGGCAACGCATGGGTCCCCCCCCAAAAATAAAACCTGATGTTGTAGGATATAGCATAGCATAGCAGCGTATGGTGATTCATATATCACACCAAAAAAAGAAACCATGGTGCATCATAACATGTCATAATACAACTTACCCCACAGGTTCCCCAAACAACTGGGGAGCCCATGATTTCGCATATCATATCATACCATAGCATCGCGCAGCATGGCAAGGCTGAGGTTCGCTGAGGTTTTGCCCTGCCGTGTAGGGCAGACTACGGATAAAGGCCCTGCTATAGCGCACGGTTGCAGTTCAGCACCCGCAACAAACACAAGCATAGAGAAACCAGCTGGTGTGAATGCACAACGATACGTCCCACACAAGCCACGACCATAGCACGCCACGCAAACACGCAGATGATGAGAATGATGATGATGATGATGATGAGAGAATACACCAGGTAATAGCGTGACAGGCATACACTATAGCACATAATGGAAATTACTGAGGTTCTGCCCTGCCGTGTAGCGTGGCCCCACAATACCACTGGAGGCTCGATGAGATAACAGAAAATGAAAAGCACAGAGTGTCAACGACAGATACTATAGGAAGCTACCGCTATAGCATGACAATGCGGATAGCAAGACAATTACATCAGACGCCAGGTTCCACTGAATATAGAATCCCATCTTAGCAGGGCAATGACATGGCACAGC